CTGCCGGTCGCCGTGATCGGCGCGTCCTACGCGCGCGTCATTCAGGCCGTGGTCCGCATGGGGTCCGGGGAGAGCCGCCGCAAGGCCTTCGCCACCTGCTCGTCTCACCTGGCGGTGGTGGCGTTGTACTACGGCGCGGCCATGTTCGTGTACATGCGGCCCACGTCGGGGCGCTCGGCGGCCCAGGACAGGGCGGTGTCGGCCTTCTACACCATCCTCGCTGAACCCGCTCATCTACAGCCTGAGGAACAGGGACGTGGCCAGGGCGCTGGGGAAGGTGCTGGGGGTGCGCCAGTCCAGGGGCTAGCTGGCCGCAGTCTGCCCGAGCTTTCCTCCTCCCACACGCTCCGCTGCTCAGTGTGCGCTGGTGTCGCGCGGTCGGCCGCTGGTTCTACCCATCTTTGCAGATTTACCAGCAACCTCATAAGGGTAAGAAACTATGAACCTGCTTGTGCTGTTGCTTTTTCAAAAACATATCATAGTGTTGGTGAGAAGTTCAATTTATGGCTGTAAATAGCGGTTACACTAGAAAATACACGCCCGTGTGGTTTGCCTTGTACCATTGAACCCCTGACACACTTGCATCCTAGGGCCTCACTGCTCACTTTAGACCCTGTGTCTCCTAGCAAGTGCTCGACTTCATCTCAACCAAGAATTCTGCTTGGAAGGGCTCAACTCTTAAATGAATGACCAGTCAGTCCTCAACAAACCAGTAGGTATGACCTTAAGATCATTATGAAGATGAGTGCAATTTAGTTAGCTGGATCAAAAGAGCAGTGTCAGTGGGACCCTCAGGTGCACCCCCTGTCTTGGGAGGGACACTGTCCTGCAGGTGTGGGAGACCCGGAGCTCCATCTGCCTCCTTCCTCTTCTGCATCAGTTTTAGACCCAGGAGAAGGACCTCTCGGTGTGGACTCTGCAGCCCTCGGTGCCCTGGCTCTGTGAGTAGTTACTGCACTCGATCACATTAAACAGTCTTCACTGATTCACTGGTGATGTGATCGAGTAGTAATGGTGAAGTCCAGGTCTTCTGAAGACTGCATACTGTTCATGTATGGCATGTCCATAGGTACGTCTGTGGTGGCAAATATATTACATTAAATGCAGTTCCAGAACTCTCGATGTTTCTATGAAGAAAAACTGCTAATCCTTCATTTAAATACTCTCTGTCCTGTTAATGGTTCATTGTAACATTTTGAACCTATTAGTTTTATTTATATATTTTTTTAGTGTTAGTTTTTGCAGTTGGGCATATGCACTCACCAAAGAGGACAGAGAGAGAGAGAGAAAGAGTGAAAGTGAGAACGGACCCCCGCCCACCCAGGAAGATGACCATGCTGTAATTCCTTCTCCATTCTCCCCTTGAGAATTGGGCATGCACATGTGATTTTCAAACTGCCAGGCCTGGGACTCCAACCACAGAGCCCGCATGTGAGAGCCTTAACCTCCACATCACCTGCTGGCCCCCATATTAGTTTTCTTTTTATGCATAACTACTACCACAAACTTACCAACTATACCTGAAGTCTTTATTTTGTCACCGTGTGTTGGATGAGAAGTCCCAAATGCCTTCGCTGGGTCTTCTGCTCAGTCACCCGAGGGTACGACTCAGCTCCATCTGAAGCTCAGGGCCATCTCCAACCTCCTGTGCTTGTAGACATTGTTTGTTTGTAGGCTGACAACTTTGGTAGCTGCTTTCTCAAGACCTACAGAAGAGTCTCTGTGACCTAAGGGAACACTCAGTCCTTTCGTAGAGATCTATCAGCAGGCAACGCTAAGCTAATCCAAGGATCTTGCCCTTTGATTGCTGAAAGTCAAATAATTATGTGTCATCATTTCTTCCGAAGAATCACTCTATCTTGCCACTTAATAGTCACACCTGGGTGTACTGATAGTGGCAAACAGTTTGGTATTCACTTCTCACATGTACCCAGATACCTTAAATAGCCAAAGTCACAGAAAATAATAATAAAATGCAAATAAAATGCAATTGTAATCTCTTATCTTGGCACATATGTGATAAAACATTAATATTGTCCAAATGAGGGGTCAGCAGGTGGCATGGTAGTTAAGGCGCTGGACTCTCACATGGCCAACTGCGGTGTGAATCCCAGACCTGGCAGCTTGCTTTCTCACTTTCTTGCTCGCTCGCTCTCTGGCGAATGCTCATGCACTATAGTACATTTACTAATAATGATAAAATTAAATAAATAATTGTCCAAATGATTATCTCAATTAAATATTTTAGAAATTTCTGAAAACTTTTAACATTTCTGTCTAATGAATCAACTATTTATAGTGATAATTATACTCCTCTAATTTTTCCTTTGCTCTTCTATTTATTATAAAAATAGCATTCAACAACAGTGGGAGAGGTATGTGGGCTGTCTTCAAAGAGTTCATGGAAAATTCATATTCTAAATAAAGGTCCTGGTAGAAACTTGGTCATTTTGAACGTTCACATGTAAGGTGGGCAGTTTCTGTTTTGCTGGATTTTGGTTTCATTTTCAGCTAAATTTTTGTAAGTTGCCCACTGATTCTATTTTATGTCTGGATTTTCTTTTGCTTTTTTTCCCCTGAACATGAGCAACACATGTCTCCTCTAATGAACTCAGTTTTAGTCTCGTTTTCATTGCACACATTTGTAAATAGTTTGGATCTTTTACTACCTGATTATTTTCTGGACATCCTCTAAGATCTGGGAAGATACAGGATTTTCTTTGCTCCCAGGAGGTTGATAAGAAATGGAATGAGATTCTAAAAAGTCCGTCTTGCCGTAACACTCTCCATTCTGGGCTCCATTGAGCTTATTACAGTCTTGTGCACATTCTTTTCATCACTGAACAACTATATTAAAAATAATTTATGCGTATTATAAAAATATTCAACATTACAATCGTACTTAACTTACAAACCTTCCCTCTTTCTATGTAACTTCTTTTTTCTTCTGCTTATTTTAAATCTGCTTTTATTTTTGTTAAGATAAAGAGTTCAGAGCCAGCAGGTGGTGTGGTGGTTAAGGCTCTGGACTCCCACACGGCTGACTGCACTTTGAGCCCCAGACCCAGTGGCTTGAATATCACGCTGGGTGCATGTGCGTGCATTCCCAAAATCCCAAGAGGACAATGGAGGAGAAAAAATTGCAGTGTCGTCATCTCCCTGGGGAGTAATTTCTGACTTTTCCTCTCTGGGTGTATGTGTGTGTCTCTCTCTAGCAAGCATATGCACCCTATGGCAAAAATCTTAAAAAAAAAAAAAAAAAGATAAAGAATTCAAGGCCACATGAAGAATTCGGCCAGTTCTGATTAAAATAAATACTTCTGAGAAATATCCCCTAGACTCAAATAAAACCTTTTTTCAAAAGTTAAAGATGTTGTTTTAAAAACAAACTGCTATGGGGCCGACAGGTGGCATGGTGGCTGGGCCCCTGGACCCACATGGCTGACTGCAGTTCAGGTCCCAGACCTGGCAGCTCGAGATGGCACCTGGCAATTGTGCGCGAGTGCCCAGAGTCCTGGGGGGGAAGGGGGTCGCGGGGTGGCCACCCCCCGTGGGTTGATTTTTCACGTTTTCTCTCACTGTCTCTATATCTGTCTGGCGAGTGCACCCACCCTATGGCAAAAACCTTTAAAAAAATTTTTAAAAAGAAACTTCTGTGGAAATGACTATCCTAATTTTTGATCTCCAACCTCCATAAGAGTAAATAAAACTGTAAGATCTTTTGTTTATGAGTATTTGTATGTGTTCATGTGCGTTTGCACATGTGTACATATAATAAGTTGTATGTTGTATATACCTGGTAAAATTCTGTAAGAATGCTGTTTGTTTTGGCTTAAAGATTAATGAGGATTCTGGAGCCAGCAGGTGGTGTGGTGAAGGGTGCCAGACACATGGCAGACAACGGTTCAAGTTCTGGACATGGCACCTTGCTTCCTCACTTTCCCTCTCTTTCTCTCTCTCACATTCTCTCACTTTGTCCCTCTCTGGTCAAATTATAAATAAATAAAGTTAAATAATTCTTTAAAAAATATTAATGAAAATTCGTACAAATATATCCAAGTGCTTTTTAAGACCATGTGACTTAAGTAATTAATAAACTGTTCTCAAATTTGTAAATAATATAAAAATGAAAATATCTTAAAATTCTCAGTCTACATTTTTCCCAGTTTTACTGGTTTGATAATGTATTTAATTAATAATAATACTGTTGGTTTAGTTAAAAATAGCTGTATCTTTTGAGTTGTCAAAAATTGAAGATGAATATCTAATACTCATACTATAAAATGGTTAACAGAAAAACTTAACTAGCAAGTAGCATTGTCTAAAATCTTAATTTTCACAAGTAATCAAGACATAGTGATTTAAAAAACAAATTACTGATTTTAGTGGTGATGTAGAAAAAGTGAAAAACTACCTACTGGGCGGCCACCAGCCTCACAGCTATCTGTCCCAAACAGGAGGCCCTTTCCAGCCTGGACAGGAGGCCCTTTCCCCAGAGCTGCTAGAAACCCTCCCCTTACCTAACTAAGGTGCCCCCATGCCTTACTTCCAGCTCTTGCCCAAAGCTTGCTCAGCTGGGCCCACCCCAGGCTCCCTTGTCAACTGTCCCTGTAAAAGAATCTTAGCCTAGTGGACAGCAGAGGGGAGAGTGCTGGATCCTCTGTGCCTGCCGACCTGATAAAGGTCATGAAGTTCTCCTATTTCTCCGAGTGTGGCTTCACCACAGTGGAATGTTTATAAATAAACTTTTATGTAATTTCACATCTTAAATAATAGATATTCATAAATATCTGAGTCATTTTAAGCTAGTTAAAATATTCTGATTAACAAAGTTTTAAATTAATCAACTTCTGACTTTTTGAATTTTATAGAAACAAAAAAAATTTTGAGTATATTAACAAATTGCTCTGTTTTGCATTAAAAAATTGATCTATTAAAAAGCGTGTTTTTTAAAGTTATAAAATACTTATACTCATATTTAACCATTTAAAATTGTTTGCTTCCTAGGAATTAAGGATACTAAGAGTTTAAAATTCTAGGCCAGTGAGTGGCATGGTGGGAAAGACACTGAATCCTACTTGGCTGACTCCACAGTTCAAGTCTCAGACACAGAGTCCTGAAAAACATATCGAGCATGTGTGCAGGCATTACCCAAAATCCCAAGAGGAGAATGGAGGAAAAGGGACCATGGCCTGGATAGACTCCCAGGGGGAGATTTCTCATTTTTCCTCTCTCTCTCTCTCTCTCTCTCTCTCTTTTTCTGTCTCTCTGTGGTGAGTGCACTCATGCTGTGGCAAAAGCATAGTTAAAAATTCTTATGTATACTTAATTATGTGTACTATATATGTGTGTGTGTATATATATATATATATATATATATATATAAGTATGTAGCATATACACACACACACACACACACACATATATGTATAGTCTATGTAAACTTTACCAAAAATTAATGTTTTTATTTAAAACTTACTAGAAAGGCATAAGAATATGTTCTTCATTTAAAATGTTTTGTCTGGTTCTGAGAATAAGTTTTTTAATAGCAAATTTATTTCAAGAAGAAACAAGGTAGAAAGAAAACAATAAGTAGAATAGTGATATGGAGAGAAAATTATAGGTATGAAGATGTACTTATTTATGCTGAAGGCTGCACACACACTCGAGAGCTAGAAAGAGACAGAGAGAGGGGAGCCCCCTGCAGTGGGCCTGGGTGAGCACAGGCCTCTCATCCAGTTTGCCATCCAGAAAGGCCCAGGGCACACACACACACACACGGCCTGATCCGGGGGCTGAGACTGAAGCCCTGGCTGAGACGTGGGGTCCGGTTTCCTCTGTGCAGGGCTTAATCACGGCACTACAGAAACCAATCCTGAAGGTCCATGTCTAGTAAGAAGCATTAAGAGGAAGTAAAATAGTCTCTGTATAGAAAAAAATTGTGTGATAAAGTAAAATTTTTGTCCTAAAGTAAAATGGTTAGATTATTCCAGAATAGGGAGAAGGGCTTGTCGAGTGAAGTAGACAACTCAGCAAAAATAATAATTAATGTGGTTTATTTTTAAGCACAAATGAGGGACCTGGTCCTGGAGAGGAGGAAAACATGCCTCTTCTCTGGGTCAGCAGGTACAGGCAGGGGTTCCTTTTATTTGATTTTGAGAGTGAGAGACAAAGTTAAGAATTTAGTGAAGAGCTAGCTTTCCATTGGTCTGGTCTAAAAAGGCAGGACATGTGTGGGGGGTGGGCAGGGGGGGCTTGTAACAGAGATCAGGGGGCGTGCACACAGTCATGAGATACTACAGGATGTTGGAAGAGTCCTGCTATCAATGAGTCAAAATGGTCTCTTAATGCCTGGCTGTGACTCACCCCAGGCCCTCTGAGTTGTGAAGGGGCTCAGGAAGCTGCAGGGATTTATGAATTGTGATTTTATGAAAGGAATTTGATTCCTTTGGAAGGAATTATTTATAAGTGTACTAAACATTAAGCCTTAATACCAAAATGTTTACTGATCTAAAACTAAAATTTGATCCTCTGTAACAACATGATTTTCTTAAAGTATTAGTACGCTGTAAAAATAATAAAATTCAAAATAATTAAAAAACCTAAACAATCATATATTTCTTTACCTTTTTGGTACCTGACCTAAAAAATAGTGTTACTGGCAAGTCCAGCTGCTTCTCAGTCAATGATCGAGGCTGAGAAGGGGGTCTATTTTGGAGCAGGCCTCCATTTTGAACTCCTCTCTATATTGGAAACTTGCCTTCTCCTTTTTGCCTAGAGTGAACAGAGTGACTGGGACCAGCAGTTAGTGTAATGGCTGTTGCTGAACTTACTCACATGGCCAACTGTGGTTCGAATCCCGGGCCCAGCGATTTGAAACTCATACCAGGAACATGTGCGTGCATGTTCAAAATCCTGAGAGGAGGAACCAGCAGTTAGCGTAATGGCTATGTCACTGGACTCCCTGTAGTTGACCACAGTTCGAGTCCCGGACCAGGTGGCTTAGACTTACACGTGTGCGTGTGTGCCCAAGATCCCAAGAGGAGAATGGAGGAGAAGGGATTGCAGCATGGCCATCCCCCGGGGGGTAATTTCTCGCTTTCTGTCTCTCTGCCTCTCTCTGTCTGTCTGGTGAGTGCATGCGCCCTATAGCAAAAACCTCTCAAAAAAAAAAAAAAATCCTGAGAGGAGAATGAAGGATAAGGGATTGCAGAGTGGCCATTCACCCTGGGGGTTCTCTCTGACTAGCACACATACTCTATAGCAAAAATCTTAAAATATTTATCTATATAAAGGAAAGGACATAGTCAAATATAATATAAAATTTTATCTTAGCACACAAAACTTGATCTATAAATAAATAAAATAAAAATAATCCCTTGAAAATTCGGTGTGTCACTAAAGCAACACAGATTGCAAGTGAGAGAACAGGAAGCAGGCTGTCAGGATCTGCGAGGAGCCAGAGAGGCAGGGGACTCCGCACGGTGTGGGCCACTCGGCTGGTTAGTGATGCTGCCTTCACCATGGTGGTCGGGCTCACAGACTTGGGTCTGTGTCTGCAGGATAAGAAGACAGGGCCCAGCACATGGCACACGGGGTACGTGGCAGGTCACGATTAGAGCCCCGGATCCAGTGACTTGAAAATCCTACCCAATGCATGTGCATGCGTGCCTCAAATCCCAGGAGGTAAATAGAGAAGGGGTTACGGTGTGACCATCCCCTCTAGGGGGTGATTTCTCACTTTCTCTCTCTCTCTCTCTCTGTCTTTCCTGTGAGTGCACACATATATAGCAAAAATCTCTAAAAATAGATTAATTAGTCAATTAATTAAAAAATTTTAAAAACTCTGCCATGCCTATCCACCCTAACCACAAAACTGCTACCTCTCCCCGAAAGCCCATCTGTCAACACCATGATCAGTTTAAGGTGTTACCCTCTTACTCCTGCTGCAGTGGTTGAACATATGAATACGTATTCAAACTGCAGCACCTGTGCTCTGAGTTGTTTTCTTTTTTTCAAAGAGTTGAGTGAGGGCACTTGGGGGTTATTGTAAAAGAGGGGGAAGGGGGTCTTACTTCCTTTAAAGTAACCCTAGAATTTGATTTTCATATTGTGTTTTGTAGTTTCATTATACACATCATTTTGTGTTATTGACATTTTTCTTATATTCCAAATTATTAGAGAGACAAGCTGGTTAGGCCAGCCAGTGGCATGGTGGTTAAGGCTCTGGATCACACATGGCCAGCTGCCTGGTTCGAGTTCCAGACCTGGTGGCTTGAAAATCACAGTGAGCACATGTGCGTGCATGCCCAAAGTCCCAAGAGGAGAATATAGAAGAGATTATGTTGTGGCTAGCCCCCCATGGGGATGGCGATTCCTCAGTTCCCACTCTCTCTCTTGGGAACACATGCATCCTATGGCAAAAACAAACAAAAAGAAAGACAACATGATTACATACCAAGAGAGTAATCAAATGATGAGGTGGGGCCTTAAATATGCAGACAATATTTCTTTAAGAAAGTTTGATTTTATTTTAATTTTTGAAGACAGGAATGCTTAGAAATTGAAAATGTAGAACAGGAAGACACTTCCAAGCCATGAACAAAATTAAAGAAAAAAAATGTTTTTTTGGAGAGATTTTTGCTATACGGTGCATGCACTCCCCAGAAAGACAGAGAGAGACAGAAAGCAGGAAATCACCCCCTGGGGGAATGGTCACACTGCAATCCCTTCTCCTTCATTCTCTTCTCGGGATCTTGGGCATGCATGTACATGTGCCTGGCATGAGTTTAAACCACCAGGTCCAGGACTAGAACCAAGGTCAATTACATGGGAGCCCAGTGACATAACCATTACACCAACTACTAATTCTGAAAAAAGTATCTTATTTAGAATTTCAGGGTCCTACCCAACTGCTAGTTCTGAAAAAAGTATTTTATTTAGAATTTCAGGGTCCTACAACTTGGTTTACTGTGGGTTAGTTATTGTAAGTTTTATAAATTAAAAGATTACATTTCCTGAATTAAGAAAGAAAAATAGTGGGACCAGCAGATGCCATAATTTACAACACTGAACTCACACGTAGTCGACAGCAGTTTGAGTCCTGGACCTGGCAGCTTGAAACTCATGCAGAGCTCATATGCGTGCATGCCCAAAATCCCGAAAGGAAAATGGAGGAGGAGAAGGGATTACATCAAGGCCATCCTCCTAGGAGGTGATTTCTCACTTTCTGTCTCTCTGTCTCTCCAGTGACTGCACATATCCTACAGCAAAATTCTCTCTAAAAAAAGAAAATTGTCAAAGAGACTGCCACAATTATACAAACTATGTAATTGTAGACTAAGGACAAAGACCTCAGGGATAGACGTTCTGATGACAAAGTTCATCCAAATGGGAGTTCTGGTCTACCCTCATGATGCAACTCAGTTCTAAGTCACCTGCTGTCTTTGTTTTTAGCAGCCTACAAAATGTAGCTGCTGTCCACCTCCATCAGTGCTAGGTGTTTAAAGATTCAGGCTGATAGGTCTCTGGGTTTTTCATCTCTCTGTCTATCCTCTTCTGTTTTAAAGGCTCTCCTCTAGTGAGAGGATGACCTTACCTTTATGCCAACAAGATGGAATCCCATGCTCATGTCACTTTACCATCTTCATTCCTTAAATCCACAGCCACTTCCCACATGTACTCTCTCTTCTGTTCCCTTCTCTCTTTTCCTCTATTCTTCACTTCAGAACACAGAAAGTCTTCAAAATAGAAAGTATAATTCATACCTCTTAGTCAGCCACATTTACTAGATTTTTTTAAATGAGCGATTACATTTACTTCTCTAGTTCTGTAAGATTTTTCTCAGAATAGTAGGTCCTGATCTTCAGATTCAGAATGTGCTATGGAAGGTAAGGAACTTGGAGAACTCTCTAGCCATCACATGCTGTGTTAAATATTTACTCTGAAGTTATTGAATACAAGAACTCTCTAGCCATCACATGCTATGTTAAATATTTACTCTGAAGTTATTGAATAGTCGGTTCAAACCAGAACAATTTTTGATAACGTTGAGGTTGTTGTCTCTCTCCATCCTAATTGCAGATAATTGTGAATCAGTGCTACTCAAGTGAATTCTATATCTTTTTACTTCATTTCTTTTTTCAGCTAATACGATGGGCTTAATTACATTCCTCTAAATGTAGGCGGTTTCTCTCCTCAGGGAAATTCTACACTGGTATGTTTCCATCAAAGTTTTCAACAAAATTTTTATTATAAGAACAGTATTTTTTCTTATATGATTTCAAAATGTTTATAGGGAGACAAATTTATCTAATAGGTATTACTCCACCTTGTGAAGTAATTCATAAATATCTCTAGATAGTTTAGTTAGAGAAATTCTTCATAGTACACTGTAAAGTGGACTTCACTACACTGTCTCACTTGAAACTTGGAAATTACTAGAGGTAGACAAGACAGAGTAGCTTGCCAGATATCCAAAACTTTATAAGTAATGAAGACAGAATGTAAACCCAAATTTTTGATCCCAGACTATGTTTAATGTTCACAGTACTACTTACCAAATGCCACGAATATGCAGACGCCAAGGGTAGAAACAGAGGGAAACCCTGTTCATCTTGAGACATAACAAAGATAATCATGTCCTTGATCTGCTCTCAAAAATCAAGGATAGGAGTTTTTACTTAATTGCAATTTCTCTACCATTATTATTTTAGAAAAAGTATATTATTTCACAATTAGAGGTGAGACTTCATATGGAAACACTTCTGAAAAGGAAGCAGTGAACTCACTCAGACGTGGAATTTAAAGGCTCACAGTGAGGGCCACCATCATGACCTGTCCTCGTGTGCTCTGGCACTCTCAAACATCTGAGCTTGATGGTCACCCAGGACTGTGCCAGTGCTTGACACAGAGGAAGTTCTAATAGGAGAACGGCAGCATCAATGGGAAAAAGAAAGAGAAAACCAGCTCCCTGATCTTGGATCTTCTGTGATAAGAGAAAATCTGTGAAGGCCAGGGTGAGGGCTGATGGCCACTGCTATCGCACCTTTGCTTAAGTCTAACCAACACGCACCTGCTTTCCGGGGCCCACATTTCATACTGGGAAAATTATTTTACCTATCACATCTACAGATGGAAGGGATAGACGTCAGGAGCGATCATTCTCACTCATTATTCAAACCCAAACTCTTCCGTTTATTTGAAGAATTAGAAATTAGCACTTACCGGTACACTCTTTTTTTTGAGAGAGAGAGATTTTCGCTACAGGGCGCGTGCACTCGCCAGACAGACAGAGAGAGACATAGAGACAGAAAGCGAGAAATCACCCCCCAGAGGGGATGGTCACGCCGCAATCCCTTCTCCTCCATTCTCCTCTCGGGATCTTGGGCACGCACGCACACACGCCCGGCTTGAGTTTTAAGCCACCGGGTCCAGGACACGAACCGCGGTCGACTACGTGGGAGTCCAGCGACATAGCCATTACGCTAACTGCTGGTTCCCCTTATCGGTACACTCTTAAACGATAAATTTAGCATACGGTTGGCCTACTAGAGAAACCCATTTTGACATACATTTCAACCATCTCCCAAATAGATTTAAAATGTATTAAAATATGACATGTTTTAAAAGTTAATATTCTAAATTAAAATAAAATTGCATATTACTCACAAACATGTATGAGGAATATTTTTCAAAATAAACAAAGTACAAAGGAACATAACAAATCTTTATATAAAATTTAAAATACTACTGTCATAAAAGTCAAACATAGTTATAAATAAAAGTGTGGACAAAATACTTGCAATAAAGATTACCTACATTGGGGTACACTTACTCTAAAGAGAACCTGCTAATTCTGAGATATCTCTGATATGTAAAAGGGTCATGAACAATCAAATCCCAAAGTAAGTAACAGACAAGATAAACACGTAGTGACACGTTCTCAGTGGAAGACTTTACGCTAATGCAGATCGGTCTGGTGCGGAATGCTGGTGCGGGCTCCATGCGAGAGGTGTGTCCTGTAGCTAATCCCCATCTCTGAGCAGCGACCCTCTCACAGTTTCGTGATGGGCTTCTAAAGCCGGGACACCGTCTCCCACGGCCTGTCCGAGAGCCAGCCCCACACGGGGGAACAGTGTGACAGACGGTCGAGGGACGAGTGGGTAAGTGCAGGGCTCGCCGTTCGGCCACAGCGACACTGTGCACAGACGGCGCAGCCACGTGGGAGGGCATTGAGTGCTCCTGGGCGTGGAACGGACTGGAGCGGCACTGAGGTCAGAACTGTGCAGAGACGTGGACTTGCTCACCACACGGGACACTGAGCATTCCAGGTGACTTCCTTTATTTCTATTTTTGAATTATTTCTTACTGCTCTTCTACCACTTGGTGATTTTGGAAGCCAAGAGTCAACACTCATGTGAGAGGAGGATGCCCTTAGTTCTGAGGAGTTAGGGAGCCTTCAGATCTCCCTGTCACATGCAAGGACTGTGAGGAGGTCTCCGGGGTCTCATTATTGTGTATCTGTGTCAGGAAGAGCATCTGTGGTCAGGGCTGGGACACTCTTGTCCTGGTTGGGAGAGTTGGGCCCATTGTTCGTGGTGGCTTTACCATCCCCCAGGGACCAACAGCACTGACCACTGGGTCTCCACTGACCACTGACCAGCCTCTGCACTGACAGGGAGG